TATAAATTATAAGTAATATTCTTTTACTCTTATCAAAAAATTTTTTTACAATTTTTGTTATTAAACCCATGTCATGTTGTACATGGTTGGAAAGCAGGTTAAATTTACTCAACGTTGGCTGACAAACTAAAATTGTTTTCACATAAATTTCTTTATTTTTACCTTACAACTTCCTTAATGATACTAACAAATCAAAGTTAGGTCAAACTATTTTATTCCACAAAAAAGATCCACGATGAGCAGTACACAACTAAATAAAATTTGTTCAACATAATGTTTCATTTAAAATATTATTATTACGCAGGGTATATTTATTATCTATTTTTAATGAGAAAAATATTTTGAAAATATATAATCCTTGATAATTCTGATATTGAAACATAAAACAAAGAACCTTATAAATGGTATGGTATATCTTCCAAATGTTCTTTTGTTATGTTATTTAGTTCATGTTAAGAAATATCATGTCTTTAAATAAAATTTGATCTTTGAAATATATTTAGCAATTTACTTTTGCTTGTACTTCCCCAAGCAAAATTTGCATAGTTAATATAACTATGTATAAGTGAGTAGTAAATTTGCATAAGGTTTTTTTCTTATACTTTTAGCAATTTTAGAGTTGATGTAATTAGTATGTGGTTTCCATTTAACATTTTTATCTAAATAAATTCCTTTGTATACAACTTTGTGAACGATTCTTTTTCATTTCAACGTAGTCTATAAATAAATTAGGTCAGATACTTACCATGAGCGATTGTTTTGAGTAGGAGTGAAACAGAATGTACTTTTGTCAACGTTCATGGTTAATTTATTGCCTGGTTTGATACGTACTTAAGTTCCGGTTTGATTTTTGTTTAAAGTTCTTTGTTTATATTGGTAAAAAATTCATCAATGTTAGTATTTGATAAGAATAAATTTGTATTATGAATAAATATAGTTCCGATGCTTTGTTAAGGACATTTTTATAGATTAAAAATAAAAGGAGTTCTAAATAGAACCTGGAATAACACATATTATTTCAGTCATTTCATTACAGCATCCGTTATTGTACGTATTGCTTCCGTTTTTTTAAGTAACTTAGATACCATTTTTAACAGATTATTTTTTATGCCGTAGTTTATGAAGAAAAATACTATGATTTACGGTACCAAAAGCCTTAGAAAGGTCAATAAAAATGCCTAGGATAAACCACCTAGTATTCGTTAAAATAACATTAACCCGTCCATTCGTTAAAATAACAAACTTGAAAAAAAAAGATAATGACATACAGTCGTTTAAATATCTAAATTTAAAAAAAAAAATGTTGTTGACGATTTGTCACTGAAAAAATATGCTGAGCTAACACTAACTAATGTAAAGTGCCAAAATAGCGTCTAAAATGGTTGCCTATCTTTTCTTTATATATAAAGGACGTTTGGCTATCGTAAACATAAAAATAAACACTTACAAAGATTCGGAGCAAAAAAAGTTCCGTAAATACACATAACTCTTAATAAATAATCTTCATAACTGTTTCCAGGTAACCACAAGAAACGCATGACAAATGTAATGTAATGGAAATTTTTTCTTTTCCATGCTTACTCGAAAATTAACAAAGATTTTGCAAAGGAAACTATTCAAGAAGTTAAGTGTGCCGTTTTAAAATTTGACACAATTTTTTGTAAGGAAAATAAGAAGTAATTTTTAAGTAAAGTATTACAAAAAAAAAAATTTCTGATGCGTTCTGATGAACGCTAATTAAAATTTCGGAAATAAATGATTTTGAATCATTAAACTTCAACTTTTCAGAAACTATTTATTTCTCATCGGATGAAAATATAGACCGAGATATAAATTATCATGGTTTATTGATCGTATCATTATCATTATCCTAGCTAATTAAAAGAGTTTTTCTTATATAAGAAAACTAATGACAAAAATTATGATCAGCTAAACACACTCCACATTAATATAAGAAGACTAAGTAGTAACTTTGAAAATTTTTTCATGACTTCAAAATTAAAAATTTCTATGACTCAATTTTTGAAGCAGGAGCTGTTCCCAGTGATCAATCGCTCTACTAGAGTGACTGTAAACTCCGCAACTTTACTAAATAGCATCATCACAATAGATTTCTTTAATAATGATATTTAAAAAAGAATTCTAAAAACAGATATATTTGACTATTTTCTAATTCTCTAAGAAAATCGATCAAACTCTAAAATAAAAATTCAGCACAAAAAAATTTAAAAACGTATTTTTGATCACGCTGATGTAGAACAGTTTAAAGAACAATTATCGTTATTGCATTAGAAGTAAAAAGACTTAAACAGCAATGTAAACATTATTCACGAAAAATTTTTTAAAACATTTTATTTGGTTTATGATGTTAACTTTCCGATATGTGAAAAGACTTTAAGCCCAAAAAACTTAAATTGAGCCTTGAATTATTAGAATTTTTGAACCTTGGGTTTTAAAAAATCATCCAAAGTAAAATAAAAGTTAAACATAAAATATTAAAAAACAAAATCAACCACGGCTAAGAAAACATAGCTAAAATTTAAAGAGAAAAAGTTAGGGAGGTGGAAGAGCAACGCTCCCTCCGCCCACTGTCCAAACACTAGTGTTTCTATATATATATACATATATATATATATATATATATATATATATATATATATATATATATATATATATATATATATATATATATATATATATATATATATATATATATATATATATATATATATATATATATATATATATATATATATATATATATATATATTAGTGGCGGGATAGCTCAGATGGTTAGAGCGTCAAAGGAAAAGTTAAAACCCGGACTGTTGAACGATACGGGTTCAAATCCCGCCACAGCTAACTCAGCGCTTGAGTAGTACTTCGGTACGCAAAAATGTTGGTTAATAACGGACGCTACTTTGGATTAGTCTCAATGACTATTTGTGGCTGTTCCTATGCTAAGCCAACAATATCTTCGGATATAAGAACATTGTATAGAAAAATATAGCATGAAAACTTAAATAAATAAAAAATAAATAAATAATATATATATATATATATATATATATATATATATATATATATATATATATATATATATATATATATATATATATATATATATATATATATATATATATCTGATCCGATGGCGATCACAAATAATACCGAATATGTATTATAACTTATATTTTTAGGATCTTAACCGTTTTTTACATTTACTATATACTTATATTCTTTATATTTTTGTATCTTAAAAACAACAACAACAAAACTCTATTTATACAAAAATATAGCCCTATTGGCGCTATTTACTAGTTATATCGACCGTGATATCGGAATGTTGTTTTTCTTTTAAGCTGATTCAATTTCCTTCCAATCATTCTCTCCCTCTTTGATAGACTCCAGTCTATCAAACATTTAATTATCAAACTCAAGAAGACACAATCTCGTAATTGGTCGTATAAATTCTTTTTCGCCTTCATGATATTTATCAGCTGCTATATCACCCTTTTTACGAAAGTCTGTTTCAAATCGACAATTTCCTATAAACCGATGGATCCAGCCGTTTATCCTGACAAGTTTTTTCCTACATGAGAACTTGTTTATATCAAGCAATTGCTTTGTTACTTCAGTGGATAATGCAAAATTCATTAATACTGAATATTTCTTTACTTCAATTGAAGCCTCTTGTGTAACTTCAATGTGATTCTGTGGCCATTTTCTTCTATAGAATTAAGGAAACTTGGTCCATGCCACCATACATAATTGCTTTCTAATTCTTTAACTGTTGTTCCTCTTGAAAGTAAATCAGCTACATTAGTTTTTGTTGGTATGTATCTCCATTGTTTTAGTTCAGTCGTTGATTGAATGAATCCAACACGGTTGGCAACAAATGGTTTCAACTTTCGACTTTGATTTTTTATCCACCATAAAACATTAAGACTATCACACCATATAGTTACGTCCTTAGTTTCCAGCTTCAATGCCTTGACAATCTTCTCTGCAAGTTGTAAACCGAGGACAGCTCCAAGTAACTCAAGTCTTGGTATACTAATAGATTGCATCGGACTTACTCGGGCTTTTGACATTATGATCACACAGGTCACTTCTCCTGTGTCATATAAACATTGTTGGTAAGCAACAGCACCGTAAGCTTTACAAGACGCATCCGTAAAAACATGAATTGACCTATTTGTTACTGTTAAGGTTGTTTGTAAACATCTGTGAATGTTTATTTTTGGGAGATCGTTTAGTTCTTGAAACCGTTGATCAACATTATTTGCAATCCTATCCGGAATTCCATCATCCCACTCAATTCCATCAATCCACAGTTCCTGCATAATTATTTTGATTCGAATGATATATGGTGCCAAAAAACCCAATGGATCAAACAACGTTGCCATTTTTTTAAGCAAAATTCGTTTTGTATATACCGTATTTTCTTCGGTTGTTACAAAATGAAAACTAAATAAATCAGGTTTTGCTTTCCAGAAAAACTCCAAGTGTTTTCATTGCAGGCAAGTCTCCAGAATCTAAATTTATATGTTCTGCACGATCATTTTCTGGTGTTATTTTAAGAACTTCGACCGAGTTTGAAAGCCACTTTCGTGCAAACATTCTTGCTGAACCCCATGGTAGCGTGAGTTCCTTGTATTATTGAGTTCCTATTTTTTCATCAACTACAGAAGTTATTGTGTCGTCCATGTAAGTTGCTTCAAGAACAGCTTCAGAAGCCAAAGGAAATTTTTTGCATACTTTCTTGCGTGTTCTTGCGTTACAAATTGAGCCATAAAAGGCGCTGAGTTGATTCCAAATACGAGCCGATTAAACTGAAATACCTCAGGCTTGGCAGTTGAATCTAGGTTTCTCCATGAAATTCGTTGGTACCTTTGGTCATCTTTATGTATTCCAATTTTAAAATACATTTCTGCTATATCACAAGCTAAAGCCACTGGGTATTTTCGAAATCTCAGCAAAACAGTCACAAGGTCTTGTTAAAGTTTTGGACCTTGATAAATAACATCATTAATTGATTTACCATTATATTTTGCAGATCCAGCAAACACAATTCTGACTTTTGTAGTTGATTTATCAGGACGAAGAATTGGAAAATGTGGTAAGTACCAACCATCTCCAAGATCCCTTTTATTGATTTTCTCCAAGTATCCCTTTTCTTGATACTGCTTAATAATATTATTGTACTCTTCTCCTATTGTACTCCTTCTCCTAAACTTTTGTTTTTCATTAGCCGTTTTTCCGTATTTTGTAATCTGTTTAACGCCATTGTATAATTATTGTCCAAATGTCTATTACCTTTCCATGGTAATTTTAGCTCATATCTTCCGTTCTCAGTTTTTAGCGAATTAGTTACTATATTAAGGGCGGTAGAGTCTTCTGGACTTGTCATTATTTTTCTAAATTGCATCTCTTCGTCGCCTTCAATTTCCCATAATTTTTTAATGGTGTTGTTTGCATCTTCTATTTCCTTTGTACTAGATGTTATTTTCGTAAAATGGGTTTGAAGAGATCCACCAGTACCACCAACACATGTCCATCCGAGCGGCGTGAGTCGAGCCACTGGTTCATTAAATCCTCCTTTTACTTCCTTAATTGCACAGTGCAGCTCAGCGTAATCCACACCGATTAGAATGTCAATTTTTGGTTTTGGTCCAATATTTGGGAATTCGATTTTTCTTAGATGTTTCCAACTTTTTGACATATTTGCCCAATTAACTGCTTTTAAGTTTCCAGTTACATTATTAACTGTAAAAGCTTCCACTGTAATTTTTGTTTCTCCATTCAACGATTCCAACTGAAATTCTACCGGCATCGTTTCGAAAGAATCAATTTTTCCATTTATCATGTTTACAGTTACTTTTTCGGTTTTACCTTGCAGTGACAACTCAGCCGCTACATCAGAGTTCAAATATGTCTTGGTACTTCCATCGTCAAGCAATGCGTTTACCACCACTTTTTTATATACATTACGAAGAATAACTGGCACCGTTCTAAGAGATATGTAGTTCATGACGTGATTTGAATGAAATTGGATGTTCGACGTATGAGAATTTTCTAATATCGTGTCTTTTTCTTTGTAGTCTTCAGAAATTGTTTCTTTTTTATGACTTTTCTTGTGAAGCAAACGATTATGGGTATCTGTACAGCCATCAATCCCACAAATTCTTGTGTTCCTGCATTCTTTTGACGAATGGTTAGAATTCAAGCATCTAAAGCAGAGTTTATTTTTCTTAGCTGTCTCCCATCTTTCTTTAATATTTTGATTTTGAAACGTCGGACACTCCCATATTTTATGATCGTTTTTGCATACAGAACATTTCTGTATCCAATTTATTTTCTTTTTTTGATCACTGTTACCAAAGTAAGAGTGATCAAAAAAAGTGTGCTTTGCTACCAATAGTTTTTTTTAAACCATGTAGAGTTTCGGTAGCTGCAATTTGAAAATCTGCTTCTTCAACTATAAACTTTTTAGAGTTTTAACATTTTCGTTTAGTTTGTTTTCATACACCCATCGTTTGTATCTAATTAACATTATCTCAGGAACTTTTTTTTGCAATTGATGGTACAATGTCCCATCGCCAAGTTCTTCTGTTCGATTTGCTTCTTTTAAGTTTGTTACTGCCACATCCAACAAATCCGCAAACTCGTCAACGTCTTTTGGATTATTTTCCCTGATAGGTTTAAAGTTGTTCAATTCATCCAAATACATAAGAATTTTTCTCCTTGTTCCGCCATATTTTCTTTCAAGTCTTTCTTTTGCAGCTTCTTAAGCGAATGACGAATGCCCAAGTCCTTCAATTGCTTTTAATGCGTCTCCACATAAATATTGACGTAACTGAAGTAATTTATACTCAGATGTCGCTGGGGCTTGATCAATACATGCGTAGAATGAAGCTTTCCAATTTTCATAGTTCTTTTTATCACCATTAAATATTGGTATAGAGACACGTTTGAGTTGTTTCCATAAATCATGTCCAATTTTTGCAGTCTTTTGATCCGAATCAATTATTTCATTTTCCATTTTACGCATGATATGCGTTGATTTGATTGGTTCCATTTCGCTATTCCCATTTTCTTCTTTATTATCTTCATCATACTGTTCATTACTTTTTTGAGTACTTAACCATTGATAATATTGCTTTTTTGTTTCCATTTTAAGCTCTTTTTCCATCTTTTGTTGTTTTAAACTTGATTTTAAACTTCCATTGCGCAATATCCATTCATTTACATGTTCCATAATTTCCGCAAATTCGTCGTTTAGTGTTTCAATTTCTGTATTGAGTTTTCCTACATGTTCTTTTGATTCCAGAAGTTCGTATTTCTTTGATAATTCAACCATTATCTCGAGAGCTTCGTTTTGAGTCTTTGTTAATTGATTACTCAATTCGCGTAACTCATTTTTACAAGTGGGTTCATCGTCTCCAATTTGCTGAATAATTTGATGTTTAGTTCGCGTAAACGAAGACTTTAGAACTATTTTCTTCCTGTTCAATGCAGATACTTCATCTTGAACGGTTAACTGATCTTCCATTTGATTATTTGATTTTTGACTTTTTCTTTTTACCATTCTTCCGTGTTGAAGAAACTACCCTCTGCAACCAATTATGATCCGATAGCGATCACAAATAATACCGAATATGTATTATAACTTATATTTTTAAGATCTTAACCGTTTTTTACATTTACTATATACTTATATTCTTTATATTTTTGTATCTTAAAAACAACAACAACAAAACTCTATTTATACAAAAATTTCGTTCAATAACAAAAATACTATTGTTCAAATAGTCGCCACATAATTGTTATTTAGTTCGTTATAGCCATATTGGCGCTATTTACTAGTTATATCGATCGTGATATTGGAATGTTGTTTTTCTTTTAAGCTGATTCAATTTCCTTACAATCAATATCAGTTACCAACTTTCGGTAGCTTATTGTTCTTGGATTAGCAAAAATGGAGATTTACTATTTATGTCCTCATATATAAAAATTTAGTAAAATATTTGGTTTTATTACAAAGTTTAATTTAACTATACATGTTGTTTGGTTGCTGTCAGTTCTCACTGAATCTTTATTTTCGCGATTTATCACATATTCTTTCCAACTTCCCACTCTAACTTTGTTTTTTTGTTTTTATAAAGGAAAACATTTTTTGAATCTATACATTTAACTATACATGTTGTTTGGTTGCTGTCAGTTCTCACTGAATCTTTATTTTCGCGATTTATCACATATTCTTTCCAACTTCCCACTCTAACTTTGTTTTTTTGTTTTTATAAAGGAAAACATTTTTTGAATCTTTGATCAAGTTCTCTTTTAAATTTTTTAAATTACTTGTTAAAATTAAGGTAATAAAATCAAAATATAACAGAGTTATATTTAATTATAATTTAATTTAATTTAAATTTAATCTACAACGGAAAAAACCGTGGAGCTGGGAAAGCAACCAATCCCTTCAATGGTAGATTCAGTATAGAGGATTACCAAACAAAAATAAAAAAGAAATAAAATAGTCGGCACATAGAGTTAATAATTTTCACAAGCGAGAAACACAAGTACTGATCATACAGTTTTTTTTTGGAAGTGAACCGAAAAATCTGTCAAGCTTTTTTTTGAAACAGTTGCAAAAACTAGCACAAGTACGAACTGGCATAAGTGCGAATTGGCCTAAGTGCGCCGAAATATTGACATAAGTGCAAATATTGACATAAGTGCGAACTGGTATAAGTGCGAAGCAGTTACAAAAACTGGCATAAGTATGAACTGGCATAAGTGCGAATGGGCATAAGTGCGCCAAATAAAATTTCAAATATTAGCATTAGTGAAAATTAGTATTTCGCACTTATGCCAATTCGCACTTATGCCAGTTTTGGTAACTGCTTCACACTTATATCAGTTCGCACTTATGCTAATTCGCACTTTTACCAATGTTTGCAAATTTGATCGGCGCACTTACGCTAGTTCGCACTTGTGCCAGTTTTTGAAATTGCTTCGCACTTATGCCAGTTCGCACTTATGCGAATTCACACTTATGCCAATGTTTGCAAAATCTTTTCGCCCACTTATGCCAATTCTCTAGTATGCTAGTTCGCACTTGTGCCAGTTTTTGTAACTGTTTCGCATTTATGCCAGTTCGCACTTATGCTAATTCGCACTTATGCCAGTTCGCACTTACGCCATTCGCACTTATGGCAGTTTGCACTTATGAAAATCGCGCTTATTCAGTTGTCCCCTTTAATAGCATTTCTTAATATGCTTAATTAAAAAAAAAAAATTGTATATGGAAACATTTTTACCTTATTACATATATTGAATAATATTATCTTTTTTTATTGATATTTTTATATTGATTGCTGTTAAATATTTGATGTACGATTTAATGAAAAAAAGATTATCATATCATAAAAATTATACTACCCAGTTGGCACAAAACGTACAAAAGAAGTCTTTTAAACGTCTTTTAAACGTTTTTGACATCATTTAAACGTATTTTAGGTCCGGTGTACACTGGGTACCCAGTGAACTTTGTATTCATTAAAGTTAATTAAAAATTAATTGCTGTAATTAGTTAGGATTCGGGTCGGTATATGGGATCCAAAAAAAATAGTCCAAAATTTGCGATTTTTTTTCATAAAATATGGGAGCTGGAGCCAAGCCGGGAACCGAGCCTTAAAAAAAACCTTTGGCTCCATAAGTCTGGTTGACAGTATCTTTGATGTCTATTAATTTTTTTTTTTTTTATATTTGTGTCAAGAGTATCGAATCACAGATATGAATGCTCAAAAACTTATTTCAAAGTTAAAATAAAAAAGTAATACTACTTTTAAGAATTAACTTTTTTATTTAATTAAGTATTTAACTTTTGTATACAGGAGGTGTAAACCACGGACCAGGACCCCTCCTTAATTACCGCAAAAATTAAAAAAACCTAATGTTTCTAGTCTTTTTTAAACTTGCTTCATTGCATCGTAACTTTGTTATGTAGGAAAACTCTGTAAGCTACTGTCAACGTTTAAAAAGGCTGGAAACTGAAATGTAAAAAAAGGAAGCAGTTTTAAGCCCAAATGTTAGGAAATACTTTTGGTGTCCGAGTTAGTCAAAAAGACTTGGTAAGTGATAATGAAGAAGCCAGAGTTTTCCAAGAGTGTTAATACACCTCTAGCAATAATCAACACTTTTTAAATCATAAATTAAACTTTATCTTGGTTGGTGGTTATTACAACATTCAGATGACATACCAATTTCAATATAAGCTGCTCCATTTGTGGGTACAAGCAATCATTAATGAACAAACTGGATGTAGTGAGATTGAAGAGCATGAGCCTGAATCAAAACAAATTTTGACCTTAGGCCTTATTTCTTTCATAAGAGGATTCAATTTATGGAGTACTTATACACATTAGTAACACAAAAGACATGGAGACATATAAGGTTAGAGAAACATGTAAAAGATAAGAAGGAGAAAGCTCAAAAAATTATAGAATATTTTTGAAGATACTCAGTTTTCTGAAATCATCCGTTGCCCATTTTCTTTTCATTACAAAAATACTTTTTGTGTGAAAAGTATTTTTTTTTAATGAAAAGAAAATAGGAAATAAAAAAAATATATATTTTTTGTGGTTATTACGGTGCTCCCAGAAGTTCTTACGGTCTTATCACAGAAGTTGTTACGGTCTTATCACAGAAGTTCTTCCGGTCTTATCACAGAGCACCGCTGAAGACAATTTAACTTGAAAGTTCACGCCTTCTTCTTTACTAATGTCGCTTATTGGACTAGAGCCAGCGTTGAACCCCGGACCTTTCGGTTCTAATCTCTAATTTTTATCACTGCGTTTCTTGATACCTGACATTAAGAACTTATGTTTTGAATTGTTGTATCAATAAAACGTCCACATTGATCCTAAAAAGCAGCAGAGATATAACAACGCGCCAGTTTGTTCAAAATCCTTATTTGTCTCAAACCTCAATCGTCAAAATCCTCATTTATTTTAGCTTTACTAGTTTTGACTAATTGCGCGGCGATTTGAACAAAAATAGCAGTAAAAAATGAGAAAATCATAATCATTTCATCGTTTTTTTTGGCTAAAGGATAATGTTGCAGTGAATCAATATTTGTAGTGAATGAATTCGGTAAACATTATTTGTTCATTAAATCTCCAGTATGGAATTTGACGAGGACGCGCCACAATATAAATACATTCTATGCAAATGCATATATATTAAATACTTATTCAACGCTTTCATTTTGTTTAATTCTACATACTGTCCATTAATTAGAATGTTTTGTTCAAAATATGACAACATGCTTGTTAATAAAGCTCATAGAAAATCCCTTTGTATAGCGCATAAAAGGTTCAAATTGTCTTTTGAAGAACTATTGGTTTCAGATAATTAAGAAGTATTAGGTTTCTTTTAAAGAATTTTAAATCTAATAATACCATTAATAAAAAACTTGCTTAAAATTAAAAACATTCCTAATAAACTTCCATGTTGCAAAAAAGTGTTGCTACCTCCCAAAGGCTCTAAATTCAAATGCACTTACAGCGTTTTGTATAAAGCCACTTCGCTTTGGAACTCTTTAAACAATGTCGTGTGACCATGACCTTTGGAACTTTCAAATAATGTCGCCTTAAAGTTTAGTAAGTTTCAAAAACCTTATTAAAATAGGGCAATAATTGTTTTGTAAAAAAAGTTTTCTTTTTTCACTTTCTTTTTAATTTTTTTTTTTATTAAAATTTATAGAATCAAATGGGGTAGAACTGAACACTTATATTTACAATTCATTTTTTTTTTATATAATTAAATTATTTTTTTAATAATTTTTGTTTAATTTTTGTTGAGAAAAATGAACTCTATCCGAATATGTTAAAAAAAAAATCTCTTGAAATTTTTTAATAAAATAAGTTTATTTGAAAAAAACGGGTTGTCGGTAAAATGCGAACTGCGAACCAAAACATATTTTAAAGACCATTATTGCTATGATAAAAACAATAATAAAAAAACTCTCCAGTTCTTAATTATCTATTTTAAAGCTTTATTTAAAATAAACTTTTTATTTTTTAACTTTAAAACAAATGCGGAGTGTTGCTACATCGACTATCTTATAGCCTGACTCGCAATGGAGTGCTGCTAGATCAACTATCTTATAGCCTGACTTGCAACGGAGTGCTGCTTAATCGACTGAGGGTTTGGTTTGGGCAGGCAGTCTATCAAATAGTTAAAAAAAAAAATTTTATTGTATTTGTCTAGTTTCACTTATTTTCCTTTTATTTATTTTTTTTAAGTAACTTTTTGGCTTTAAGTCCTTAAAAATATACCGCTAAATGAACTATTTAACGGAAACAAAACATTACATCATTAACAACTAATAGGACGATGGTTCGCAAAAAAGTTCGCATTTTACCAGTTCGCAGTTCGCGGTTCGCAGTTCGCATTTTACCTAGTACCAAAAAAAAGTGTTCAGTTTTGACCTGACAATTCGGCTAAAACTGAACGTGTCAAAGTTTTAGTAATTAATTATTATTTTATGTTTTTCAAATTGATTTAGATCTGCACAGGAATTTGTGAAAAGTAAATTATATCAAATATTGTTAGTTTTTTAAAATTTAAGATAAGTTTGAAAAATCGCGACGTTAGAATTATCTTGTTCTATCTCCACTTTCTGAAAAAAATGAGTTGATGATAGTGTTGTGTTCCTCAAAATAAGGTCTTTCTACGGAATTAAAACCTAAGTTATAAGTAAAAAAGTTGCGTAAAAAAAAAAAAAATTATACGCCGTCTCCTAAAGTTTTTGTTTTTTAAATCGTTTTATCTCAAAACTAAAAAATGTGAAGATAGAACAAGATAATTCTAACATCGCGAAATGTTAGCGTTCAGTTTTACCCGAAAATGACTTTTTCAGTGATTCAATTAAAGCTGTTTTTAGAAAATAACAATTTTATTTCTGAAAAAAGATTCTTGATCAGCGTAACCTTTGCTACAAATACATCTTTGTTCAGTTCTACCCCATTTTACTCTAAATTATTTTTTGTTCCTTATAATTTGATATATAGTATAAAAATTGTAAATTAGATTTTCTACATTGTTTACAAGCCTTTATAACTATTTATTTGTTTATTTTTCAACTTTCTTGTTTATTGAAACTTGAATTGTTTCTTGATTTTTTATTTATTGTAAATTTCAAACAATGTTGTTAAGGCTTATCTTTTATTTAAAGGCCTTAAAAGGCGTTTTGTTTATTTATCGACAGTATATATGTTGGTGTGTGCTGTCCATAAAGTTAAATGTGTTGATTTTAATTTGTTTACGAAAACTGAACTATAATATTCTATTAACGGTAAATAAAGTTTTTAAATTAAAAAAAAAATGCAAATTAAGCTTGTTCCTAACGGACAGGAATTAAAATTTCAAATTTCTGAACTTTAATTAGAAGTTTTTATTTTCAAAAAACAATCTCGTTCAAAAATTCTGTTCCGTATGTACTCTAAATTCCATACCATCTTTTTTTATCTAAAGTTTTTTTTTTAATCTATGAATTAAAACAACTATTATGAAACTGACAGGGCCGACGACACGGGTTTCAAAGTGGAGGGGCACAATCATCAATTTCTAAAAAAAAAGTCTTTCAAAAATTTTGTTGGGTTAAGTGAGATTTTTGCTTCATACTTATTGACTTATATTTTTTATTTAAAAAATATAAATCAATAAATATAAAATAGCTCCCCAGTTTAAGCATAAAATTGATTGTATGTTTAGCAACGTGCATTTCTACAATAAAGAAAACCTTGTTCTGCACGCACCATCGTTTTTCGATTGTAGAATAGTTTTCTAATTTTCCAATAGAATTTAGTAATTTTACTGAATTTATTTTTAAAAAGTTGTCGGTTGCTTAACTTTTTTATTTTAAAAGACAATTTTTAAAAAGTTACTATTAATTTGTTATATAAAGGAATATGAGCAAGGTAAAAATAAAAACAAAATATTTAACTATTTAAACTTTGACAAATCTTTATAAATAATACAAAAATGAAAATTATTACGTGTTAATTAAAATGAAGATGTTATTTAGGTTTGTTAATAAATATGCGTTATTTGTGTTTCATCCAATAAGTTTAAAAAATATAAATTAAAAATTATATAAATTGTTCATAAAAATTGATAAAAATAAACAAGAATTAATTCATGTCAATTGCAAATGGATTTCTATGCATCGTCTGTTATTGTTTTCTTTAAGTGTTGTGGTTCGTCAGCATTTTTACCTTTTAAAACTGCTAAATGTAATGATAATAATTGGAAAGGGATTATTGCTAAAATTCCCATTAAACAATCTGACGTTTTTGGTATGCATATTGAAATATCCACCATGTTTTTTGTTGTTTCGTCATCTTCTTCGCATATAACAATTGGTTTCCCTCCTCTTGCTTTTACTTGTTGAAACGCGTTAATACATTTCTCGTATATCGCATCTCGCATTATAATCATTATAATAGGCATGTTTTCATCGATTAGTGCCAGTGGACCATGCTTCAGTTCACCAGAATGAATTCCTTCTGAATGAATATTTACAACTTCTTTAAATTTAAAAGACCCTTCTAGACAAGTTGCTTGTTGAAAACCCCTCCCCATTACCAATAAACTTTTACAATTGACGTATTTTTGTGCTAAATCTTTTAAATAGTTATTTAGTTTTAAAACAGTTATAACTTTGTCGGGTATTGTTTTCATTTCGGAAATAATTTCTTGAACGCGTTTTTGTTTTGATCTTTTATCTTCTGCCATTTTTAACGAAAACATAGTAAGTACAATAAATTGACTCGTATACGTTTTGGTACTGGTAACACCAACTTCATTACCTGCATTTAGATTAATACCAAAATGGGTTTCAGCAGATAAGGTGCTGTTCTCCTCGTTTGTTATACCCATTAGTAAAGCTTCTTTCTTTTTACAATACTTGCATGCATTTAATACATCGCTAGTTTCGCCAGATTGACTGATAAAAATGCAGACATCGTCGCGAAAAATAGGCACTTCTCTATCTAATAAATCACTACTTGTTTCTACAAAAACGGGTAGATCTAAAAGTTCCTCCATTAATTGTCTACAAGCCAACGCCACGTGAAAACTTGATCCAGCACCAACTAAAATTATTCTACGACACCGAAGCAGATCATTTAAAAAAGTTTCAATGCCATTCAGATGAATTTTAAAGTTATCAAAATCAACTCTTCCTAACATTGATTGTTGAATGCTTTGAGGTTGTTCAAATATTTCCTTTTCCATAAGGGTGGGGATCGTAGCATCTACATTTTTGTTGTCTTTTGATTCACTGAGCGAGCAATTTACCACTTTCGTGAACTGAAGATGCTGCTGTTTATTTCTTGCAATAAACTCTAATCCTTCGTATAAAGAACTGTTTACATCCTTCCACGAGTTTGGCTGGTGCTCGTTGATAAATAAAGAAGTTTCCATTTATTTTATACAGCTAAAGAAAAAAATGGATGCATTTATACATAATATTTCAATTGAAAAATTTTTTTTAATGTTTTGTTTAATTAAACTTACTTATGAAAAGTTACGCTAGGTTTCTGTTTTTTTTTCGAAAGTGAAACTAGATATATATATATATATATATATATATATATATATATATATATATATATATATATATATATATATATATATATATATATATATATATATATATATATATATATATATATACATGCACACACACAAAGTTTTAATTAACAATTAAACGTAAACAAACAACTTAAAAATATATATAAACAATATCATAGAAATTAATCATGAAACATAAATAAAATAAACGACGTGTAATGCATGTATAACACTTATTCATACAAAAAACACTTTTTTAAAGTACTTACGCATTTAATATTAATTACATTCAATAACAATTTACTTCAAGCAATTTACCTTAACTTAGCAATAATTGATTTGCGTCAACAGCGATCGATAAGAATTTCTTTAAAGAACTTCAAAATTTAAAATTAAAATATATAAAACAAGAAAAGTAAAAGTTATCAGTATTTTAAACCGTATTGTAACTTAATGCAACGTTCTATTTTAAATGCATTTTAAATAGCACTTTAAATATTAGCACTCAGGAAGTAGTTAATAAAAAGAAAACATTACTCTTTGAACTTGTAAAATAGTTTGACGCAATTGCGAAATACATTAGTGAGACTAAAGAAATTCGCTTTGAGAAACAGTAAAATTATTGTGAATGGAAAAAACTTGTTATGTCATTTTTTAAACAACTTTCACTCGTTCGATATTTAGTAATAAGATAATTGTCAAACAGTGTAATGCCTTTGTTTTTTTGATAAATAAAAGGTAAAGTTAGAAATCATACAAAAACGTTTTGTATGTTTAAAATATAATGTTTAGTTAAAACATTTATAATAGTTGTTTTAACTAAAATCTAAAATATATTACAGTAATTTAGTAATTTGTTAATTAAAAGTAATGAGTTATTAGTAATTTAACTAATTATAAACAAACTCACACTTTGCAGAAAACGACGTTGTCACTTTTTTAAAAATAATTTTACAACTTGTGATGAAAAAGATGTTTTTAAAAAACTATTATTTTTTTCATATTTAATAATAATAGATATAAAACAAAAATGTTCCTCTTTTTTAGTTCAAAGATATAATGGAACAAAAATCAAACAAACGCTAAACTCGAGTTTGGTGTTTTGGAGGTATCCTCCAAATATTAATCACTTTTGTTTATATTTGTTTTTGTATGTGTGTATATTTATAACAAAAAAGCCATCAAAAAGTTGTTTTTCTCCATCTAACTTATTACTGAGAATATAAAAAATTGTCACATTTTAACAATCCAATGCTTAATTTTATGTTAATTAATTGTTTCGTATAATTTGAGACATCCACTAAAAAAGATTTGGCTTTAAGGCAATATGACAAAATTGAAGATTTAATTCTAAGCAAATCGTCTTTGAACTATGCGGACACTAATGTTAATTATGGAACAGGAATCTGTAAACTAGGAGACCTTTTTACTATATACTATTTTACAATATACTATTGGTAAAGAATAAGGATTACAATTGCTTGCATAACGGCTCACATAAGATGGTGGATTTTGCTATTTTTATCTAATTCACTCCCAACAAGGATGCAAGCAACCACTATTAAGTTGGGAGATACTAGAAAATAAAGTGTAGAGTTGAAGAGAAAGGGAACGGTTAACAGAAAATTTTAAAATTTGTAGGATGTATGAGTAAGGGTAATATGAAGTTGGGAGAGACTTCCAAAGGATTGAAGAGCAAAAAAACTAGACAAATAAAAGTTTTTAGAGCATGCATAGACACGTGCATGGACAGATGTACTGAAAAAATGCAACTTTGCTTAATGACTAGTCAAGCAAAAATGTTTTTTTCTGAACATGAACATATTTGAATGCGTTTCATTTGATGATGAACATATTTGAATGCGTTTCATTTGATGTAACTTGAGATGATATGTCCTTTGAGCAGCAAAGTAGTTTCAGAAAATTGAAAAAAATGCAACCATAAGACAATGAGAAAAAGATTCATTTATAATTCGTTTTTTGACCTTGTCTAAAAGTGAAAGAGCATCATTAGAAGAACCGGCTCAAATATGAGAACAGTATTCATTACAGAGAGAAGTCAGTAGTGAACGATAATCCTTAGCCTCAAGGCCTCAGTGAGAGGGTTGATTTTCATTAATGTAGGAATGTCGACAGTATTACGATGTTAAAAACAGTTATTTGCAGTAAATAACTGTTTTTTGTAGAGTTAAAATTTACAAGTCACTGCAAGTCTCAATCTGTTACAGACTTTTTGATCTTACTTTAAAAAGACTTTTTGTCAAAACAAGAACATAAAGTTTAGTCATCAGCAAATAGAACCACTTTAAATGATCTCAAAGATACACCATATAAACTAATAGAGTAGACTAGCAAACAAAACTTTATAGAAAGCTTTAGATAATTAAAAAGCAATAGCTTTTATCTCGCCGCCTCCATATAAAGGACGTTAGAATCTTTTATTCATTGCAGTTAGAATCTTTTATTCGTTGCAAGTCAGCCATAAAACAAGAAGATTGAAAACCGTTAAAGATTTGTAGAGTTTGCTAACAAGACTGATCAGATGGGAGTTGGAGGGGTCAGAGTGTTTTCCAGAATTTTTGAAAATTAAACCCACAGATGCCATTTCCTAGCATGCAGTAAAGCAAGGTTCAGTCAAGCACGGATCCAGGATTTTTTGGTGTTTAAGATAGCTAACTTTCAGACATGGAGCTAACTCCAAACATTTGTATGTTTATACTAATGTTAAATAATGAGACTTTGCAAAAAATTGCAATGATTGAAGGCTGGGAACAAAAAAGCTTCTTGACTTTATATTCTTTTCTTGCAATAATAAAAAAGCTTTTGTTCTTAAGAAAGTTGTTGTTTTGAAGAATATGAAAAAAATTATAACGAACAGATATAGCAGTTATAGATATATGTATATATGTATAAAACACATTAACGTGTCGGAAATATTTTACATTTTAATATTGATGTAAGATTTTTTTCTAAACATTCTTGCGCTTTTTTTTTAATGTTAATCACTTCTTCAATCAAGAAAGCCACTGCTGTCGAGAAGGCTTCTTGATTGTGGTTACAGCCCTCAACTATTTAACTCCAAAACACGAACCTTGAAAAACAAGGTTGTTGCGCGGAAAAACAAGTAACAAATAATTATCGATTACCCATATAAACACAAAAATTATTACAAACTTTTGGTTAACATCCTTATAACTAGTTAGCCAAACTTGAACATGTTGGCTAAGCAGTCGCAGAGCCAACCTATTTAAATAAGAGGTCTAAAAAATAGCATTTAAAGAAATAATAAAAAATAAGTAAATTGCAAAGTATATAAAAAATATTTTTAACGAAATACACGACTTAAAATATACGCGGCTCCAGTTGATTGCGGTTGATAACGACTTCAATACAATTTATAAAAATACTTCACTCTAAAAACAATTTCCATCGAACTCGAGGGAATAATCTACTATAGTAATTATTCCCTAAAATGAAGTATATTAATATAATAAAAATACTTTTAAATTAAATAATAATATATAGTAACATAAACTAAAGCTATAAATAAAAACTATATTGTAATGTCTGAAATATAAATACGAAGATATTTAATTATTAGGCAAAGCTTTATTTATATTTGACACATTAATAACTTTATTTGACACATTTTGTTTTTGTTATGCTTACCCGCTGTCATAGAAAAATAACCAATCAAAAAAGTTATTTTACTTGAACTATAAAAATGTCAATTGTTTTACATTAGTGTGTTTTGAATTATTTTAAATAATGATTGCTAAACCCTGCCTTTAAAACATTAAACCCACTTATAAGAATATTTGGATTATCAGTTGGTCTGTTAAGAATTAACAATTAAGTATGTTTACCATGGATAAAAAATCCTATGATAATATTGAAAATTGACTGTCAAGTTAACATCTATTGCCAATTAATATCTAATCTTTTTTCATTGTAGTGACTTTTCACAACCAGGGTCGGCGCGAATACGTATTTTAATTTTTTTTTCTGTTTTTGTTTAGGGGAGGGGGGATATGAGTATACAAAAAAATGCCAACTATTATATAATTTTTTATTATCATTAAGTTTAATCATTCTAGTTAAGTAATGTTGATTACTAAAGAACCAAATATAATGAACATTTGTAATAATAATAAATTCTTATTTATGACGTCAAAAAACGTTGCTTTTTTTTTCTCTTGTTTTAGAAATAACTAAGGCATTTCCTAAACCAGAGACTTGTTTCTTAATTTAATAAATTTTCCGTTGTTTCATTAACGCACTTTTTCAACAACTCTTTTAAATCAATTTTGTTCAACATGTTATTGTTAGTATTAGGAAGCATCAGGTTTTGTAGTCGATCAGTGTGCATTGTGGATCTGAAATAATTTATAATCAATTTTTATTTGCTAAATTTCATTTATTTGATGACGTTATCGGGGCTGAGGAAGCCATATAGGCCGTGGCTTTCGCAGTTTTACAGCAACAACCCTTGAAAATAGCTCTGTTAAAAAACTGCGCTGAATAGATAATCAAAAAAACATTATAAAAAAACAGATACTTTGAAACCCATATATTTACACATTCTCAAACCCCTAGGTGTTGCACCTATGTGTGCTGTTAACATTAATTCTACCCATATATTTACACATTCTGAAACCCCTAGATGTTGTACCTATGTGTGCTGTTAACATTAATTCTAATATTTTGTTTTTAGTTGGCAAAAAGTTTCTTGTGCGTTTTTGATGCATTAAAAAATTCTGATAAGTTAGATATGGCTTCGCAACAATGAACCAACAATAAAACTTCAAAATAAATTCCATCATAATTATTTATTCTAGATGCATCACAACCTGGTGATGACCACAACCTGATGCATCACAACCTGGTGGGTGATCTATATGAAGTATTGGGTATTTAACGCTTTTAATAAAATATGCAATTGTTCAATAGTTGAATTGCAGTTTTTTAAATCAGAGATAATAAAACTGAAAAGTAAAAAATAAGTTCGGATTCTGATCTGTAAAATATATTAAATATCGTCTAAGAATATAGATTAGATTCATTGTTTTTTTGGCAATGGTCTGCTTCTACGAACTCTTTTAAAATCAGATTCAAGATCAGCTTCTAATTGAAGCGCATACTATTCACTCGATATTTGTACTCCGATTCAATATGAATCGGAATTCTAAAATTGAGTTATTGAGATTTGTCTAAATTATTATTTTATTATCACATTCATTTGAATATTGTTTTAAATTAATTTGAATATTACCAGTCAAATAAATAATTAAAACGTTGTATTGTTAATTTTTTTAATTCATTGAAAACGTTTTAAGAATTTATTTTCATATATTATTTAACATATATTTTAAAATTTATTTTCTAAAATACTTAATATTTTACTAAAGTTCTATTTTAATATTTTATTAAAATTCTAATCTAACATTTTATTAAAATTTAGATTTATCTTTAGA